TGAGTTAAAGGGTATAGCTTTCTTTTTACCTAGAAGAAAAGGTTCTGAAATGAATTATGGTCATGGTTGCCAAACCGTGTGACAGTTACACCACATCACTGAGTCGCACCCTTCAGACGGGTGAGTAGCACCGGGCGCTACCCATAACGAGGCCGCCAGGTGTGTTCTCAGCCTTGGAGGGCTGTATATCATTTTTGTCTTAAGCGCAAGAAAAGCGCTTTGGAACAGCTCCTGGGAAGCCGGCGCCGGGTGCCAGAGGGCACTGCGGGTCGTCTGGGCAGAAGCTGCCCAGGCCTAGATGCTGGGGGAAGGGGGGCGACCTAGCGCCCCAGAGGCTTCTGTCCCAGAAACGTGACACTAAACGAGCTGTTTTCTGCTTCCCTCAAGTTCTCGGCGCCAGCTCACCGCCCTGAAATCTCCCCTAAACCAACCGTCTACATCCCAAGCCAGGGGACAGGGCTTTCTGGAGGGCACGATGTCGGGCCCCACCTGCTCGGCCCTCTGCTCTGCACCCGCGCCTGGATTTCGTCCCCTGGGGATGGCTGCAGACCGGGGGCTGGGGGCAGAAAAGGAGAAGGAGCGGTGCCTCGCGGGACCACACGGACAAGAGGGGCTGCGTCTGGGAGGACTCTATGCTGCCCAAGGGCTACCGGAGATTGGGAGTGGACAGAACTGGGATGGGAACCGGGCGCACGAATTTGGGACGCCGAGTCAGCGGAAAGAGTCCTGACCGCCCCTGACCGAGATCCAGCTTAGAATCAAAGGGACTGCAGGGGGCTGGGGTCGGGGTGGGGATTGGAAGTTTCGGGAAATGACAATATTTGTACTAGCGAGAAAAAGAAATAGGAGCGTCAGCAGCAGGGGTTAGGGGAACGCGGGAGAGAGGGGGGAAAGCTGGCCCGCTGTGGCCAGGTGGCGGGGCCGAGGCGCGGAGTGGCGAGGGGTGGCCGACAGCAGTTCACAGGACGCCCGAGACGGGTTCCGCAACCGCACGGGGCTAGCAGCTGGTCTGCTACAGGGGAAACCGCGGTCCCAGCGCCTTGTCCTGGTTTTTCTTCTAAAACGCCTACTAGCTGGAGAACTCGCAGAGAGAGGGGAGGGAGCACGGAGTCTCTCCTGGGGGGGCTCTGGCCACCTGGCCACTAGATGTTTCCTGGGCCGCCCTCCGCGCAGGGTGGCAGCGCAGCTCCCAGAGCCGGTGGAGATGCCTGCAGGAGTGCGCTGTTCTTCTGGTTTTTTTTTTTTTTTTTTTTGAGACCGAGCCTCAAGCTGTCTCCCTGGGTAGAGTGCTGTGACATCACAGCTCACAGCACCCCCCAACTCCTGGGCTCAAGCGATCCTGCTGCCTCTGCCTCCCAAGTAGCTGGGACCACAGGCGCCCGCCACAACGCCTGGCTATTTTTTGGTTGCCTGCCGTCATTATTGTTTGGCGGCCCAGGCTGGATTCTAACCCGCCACCTTGGGTGTACGTGGCTGGTGCCTTAGCCACTTGAGCCACAGGCGCCGAGTCTCGTCGTCGTCTTCTGCTTTTTTTAGAGACAGAGTCTCCCTTTATTGCCCTCGGTAGAGTGTTGTGGCATCACACAGCTCACAGCAACCTCCAACTCCTGGGCTTAGGTGATTCCTTGCCTCATTCTCCCGAGTAGCTGGGACTACAGGCGACCACCACAAGGCCTGGCTATTTTTTTGTTGCAGTTTGGCTGGGGCTGGGTTTGAACCTGCCACCCTCTGTATATGGGGCTGGCGCCCTACCCACTGAGCCACAGGCGCCACCCATGATGTCCACTTCTTAATTTCCAGAATCTGCAAATATGTTACGAAAAAAACAAACAAAAAAGGTGGAAGGAAGGACTTTTCAGATATGATTAAGGATTTTCAGATTGGGAATTATCCTGGATTATCTAGGTGGACACGATGTACATACAGGAATCATGAAGACCTCATAAGAGCAAGGCATGAGAAGCAGAGATGGGGGGACAGAAGTAGGGATCTGAGCTGAGAGATGTTTGCTTTAGAGACAGAGGCAAGGAAGGAGGCAAGGAAACACAGACTTCCCCGGGAGCGCCCAGAAGCAGCACAGTTCTGTAAACACCTTGTTTTTAGCCCATTGGAACCCATTTCACATTTCTGACCTCCAGGACAGTAAGAGAATAAAGTGTGTTGTTTGAAGACATGAAATCTACGGTAGTCTGTACAGCAGTAATAGGAAATAAATGCATGCACAAATAAGTTTTTAAAAATCAAGAAAATAAATCACTTGTAATCCACCTCCCAGAATGAGCTCTCGGCTGTTAATATGTGTAATTTAGCCGTCTGATTAGTGGAACTGCCGTGTGAAGGCATTTGTAAAGGGCAAAGTGCCATATAGCTAATAATGCTGGTGTGTCCCAGTGATTCTAGTGGCTGAGGTGGTCTTGAAGCTCAGCTGGGTTTCCAAATACCATTGCTCACTAAAAGGAACCAAGGCTCTGGTTAGGGAGGACAAGAATAAAATGAGCCCAGAACATACTATGCTCGTGGGGTGATAGGAACTTATCAAAGGAACAAAAAAGAAAGGAAGCTTGAAGGGCTCTCCTTGGCCAAATCTGGGGGTCATTTAAGTAACGATAATGATAGAGTTGAATTTTAACTCTTCTTACTTTATTATAATCAGTCTAAGGTAAGAATCCAGGAGTACATACTGATATATAAATGGAAAAATAAATAAATGGGGAGAAAGGAGAGCTCTACCCTATGGTAAAATATCAACTAACAAATGGGGAAGAAATACGGGGAGGAGAAAATGCCATTGGAACCACCATAGTAATAATGGTGTCCGGGAGAACAGCCTACCAATGAAGTGACAGGGAAAGTCTGAGAAACAGGATTTGCATGTGGTCTCAAACGATCTCCCCACGAGGGATACACACCAACTACAAAGGGGGAGATAGTAACTTTATAGTGGAGAAACCTGACAAACCTCGACCAGGCAATCCAAGCTAACATCACGGGTAACAGGACAAGCAGACCACATGTGCCCCTGGCATGTTGCAACAGAGGGCACAAGGGTCCTTGCTGCTCTGCTCTGTCAAAAAGCCCCAACCTGAATTCAATTGTGAGGAAATATCAAACAGATCAAATTGAGAGATGTCTTATGAAATAACTGCCCTATGGTTGACAACTGGATAGAATATGAATTTTGGATACCAGGCCAGGAAAAACAATTTTTTTTCATTATCAAGAGCATTGGTCATACTATAACATGGGTGAAACTTGAGGACATTATGCAAAGTGAAATATCCTAGACATAAAGAGAAGAATATTGTGTGGTTTCACTTACATCAGCTATCAAGAGTAGTCATATTCATAAAGACAAAGTAGAGTGGTGGTACGGGAGCTGGGAGGAGGGGAGTGGGAAGTCAGGTTTAATGGGTCCAGAGTGTCGGTCTGGCATGATGATGAGGTGCTAGAGATAGATGCTGGTTACACAGCATTGTGAATGTAATTAATGCCATAAATCATGCGTCTAATAATTGTTAAACTGGCATATCATAATATACTGTTTATATTTTACCACAGTAAAAATATTTTTAAAAAACAGCAACTTTGAGCCGGGTGCAGTGGCTTGCATTTGTAATCCTACCCCTCTGGGAGGCTGAGATGGGTAAATTGCTTGAAGTCATGAGTTTGAGACTAGCCTGAGCAAGAATGAGACCCTGCCGCTATTAAAAATGAAAAATTGGGTGGTGCCTGTGGCTCAAGGAGTAGGGTGCCAGCCCCATGTGCCAGAAGTGGTGGGTTCAAACCCAGCCCTGGCCAAAAACTACCAAAAAAAAAGGAAGAAAAACTGGGCTCAGTGCCTGTGGCTCAAGTGGCTAAGGCACCAGCCACATACACCTAAGCTGATGGGTTCAAATCCAGCCTGCGCCCGCCAAACAACAATGATGGCTGCAACCAAAAAATAGCCGGGTGTTGTGGGAGGTGCCTATAATCTCAGCTACTTGGGAGATGGAGGCAGGAGACTCACTCCAGCCCAGGAGTTGGAGGTTGCTGTGAGCTGTGATGCCATTGCACTCTACCCAGGGCAACAGCTTGAGGCTCTGTCAAAAAAAAAAGAGTTTGAGGTTGTTATGAGCTATGACACCATGGCACTCTACCAAGAGTGATAAAGTGAGATTCTGTCTCCAAAAATAAATAAAATAAAATAAAATAAAATAAAAATATTTTTAAAAGGCTTGGCGCCTGTGGCTCAAGTGGCTAAGGTGCCAGCCATATACATCTAAGGTGGCAGGTTTGAATCCAGCCTGGGCCCACCAAACAATGATGGCTGAAGGCAAAAAATAGCCAGGCGTTTTGGCGGGCGCCTGTGGTCCCAGCTACTTGGGAGGCAGAGGCAGGAGACTTGCTTGAGCCCAGGAGTTGGAGGTTGCTGTGAACTGTGATGCCACGGCACTCTACCCAGGGCAATAGCTTGAGGCTCTGTCTCAAAAAAAAAAAAATTGAAAAAACCCCTGCAACTTTCAAATAAATGGACATCAGTAGACAACCAAATTTGTATAAGGTCTATAGATCATATAATAATGGTGTGCCAAAGTTAATTTCCTAATTGTTATAAATGCATTGTGGTTATATAAGGAAATGTTTGTGTATGTGTGTTTGAGAATTATACACTGAGGTATTTAGTGTACCAAGGCATCATGTTGTGTATGGACAGAGGTAAAAAGATTAGGGAAGCAAGTGTGGTAAAATATTAAATATTTGGCGCATGTGGGTGAAGTGTTTATGGGAATTTGTACTATTGTTGTGACATTACTATAAGCCTAAAATTATTTCAAAATAAATAGTTTAAAAATTAGAAGATAGTTACCTAACCGAAATGGGGCACTCTGTGGCGAAAATATAATTCCTAAGGTGCAGATGCAGTGAACTGTTTGGCTGGCCAAGACTCTGGGATGTCTTAAGGCAGAAGGGCCAGGAACAAGGGATTCAGGGGCCCAGCCTCACTGGAAAGCAATGCAGAGATGGGCCAGATCCAAGGATACAAGGTGAGCTTGGGTTTGGTTCAGATGGGCAGCCATCCAGGGTGTTCCAATGAGGAAGGTGAGGCGGAGGAGCCATGAGGCTCATCAAGGTCAGTTCTGGCTGTCCTGGAGCTCGGCAGCACCCCCCCCCTGCAGCACCACATGCACAACAGGCAGACTCTCACCCACTTGAGTGAAGTAAACTATCTCCTCACTATGTATCTATTCATATAAAGCTCAAATAGGGACACAACAAGTAGATGGTGACGAAAGTCATAACAATACCCATGGGAAGTGGGAACTTGGTGGGCTGCTTGTTTTCAATTGATCGAGAGAGCACTTACATTTTGTGCACTTTTCCCCGTGTTAATCCTCCATTTTAAAAGGTTCACCCCCACCCCCATCTTGGCGTACAGCACTGAGATTTTGTTCATCTAAATGAGGCATTCACGAAGATTCAATAGAGATTCGATTAGCCTTGTTTGTTATTTCGTTGCTAAGCAACAGTCTAAGCTTTATAACCAAGTGACGCCAACCATCCACAGCCGGCTACGTGGGGGATGTGCTCAGCCAGGGACCCAGGAGTGATAGCCACGGATGATTCCCATTCCCCCCACCCTGCTTTTGTTCTCAGAGGTGGGAATTGGGGGGTAGCGGTCATGGAGCAGCACAGCCCAGCAGAAGGCTCTGGCCCCTTCTGTTGTGGGGTGGGCTGCTGTGAGCCACTCTCCCGCCTGCCTGTCTGCAGCATCCATCGCCATGGCAACTGCTTCCCCAGCACTGGGGCTAAAATGAGGCTCTGTGGGTGTCTTGCAGGGATTGGAGGTCTCCCTGCCATGGAATGGAATGGCTTTATGAGGAAACTGATGAGTCATTGCAGGGAAAGGCTGATACTTAATGGACAGGGTCATTTCTGCCAAAATGGTACAGGTTTGAGGCTGGTGGGCAGCTCTCAGAGCATGGTGAAGGTGGTGTGAAGGCAGGGGCGGCGGGACATCCACAGAAAAACCTAAAGATCAATTAAAACTAAAACGATAAGGAAATAAAGACCACCCAAATGTGAGCAAACAAAGACTATTCAGAGCTTGCTCTGCAAGAGGAGTCAGCCACCTGTCCCTTGTGTTTGGCAGAGATTCAAAGGCAGGCAGAGGAGTGCGAAAGCTTCGCAGTGGGAAAAGGGAAGGCTCCGTGTGTCCTGACTGCAGGCTGCTGGTCTGGGGACACTGCAGGTGGCTAACTAGCAGCGGGGCAGCCCGTGTGACTGGGAGCAGATGTGGCTTTCTCTGGCTGGTCTTAAACGGAATCAGCAGCGAATAGTCAGGAAGCTGGTAGTTAAGTACTGGCCACTTTGGGCAGACTGCTGCAGAGGCTGTGGACTGGCTTCCGGCTGGCTGCAGCGACTATAGGTCAGAGTTCTATTGTTGTACGTGGTCTAACTTAGCCATGGTCTATTTGCATATCCAGCCTCTCGGTGAACACCATAAGTTGGACTGGTCAACAGAAAGGTCCCCGGTGATTTTATTAATAAGGAACTAAGGCATTCTGCAGTACAGGAGCACAGTTTTAAGGGCTATCCCAGCAGACGTGGGACACAGAACTTCTAAACACTTGGTTAAAATTTAAATGAAAAATACTGTTATAATCACTGTCAATCTCTGTTGGTGCAAGTGTCCACTAAAGTGTGAGAAGCCTAGACTTCCAGTGAGGCAAAGGGTAGCAAGTAGGTTGAGGGACCAGAGGTAGAAACTCAGCACCAGTGGCATGAGGGGATGTTTGGTCCTGCCTAGACAATCTGCCCTCCCCAGAAGAGGGAAGAATGGGCCCGTGAGGAGACTTGCTGCTCCCCTCTAGAACTCTGCGTCTGAATGAGGGAGGAACACGTCTCCAAAAGAAACGTGGATATTATCATCAGAAGAGGGAAGGAGGACTTCACAGGCAAAAATAATGTCCATGTATTCCTACATAGTTCTGGTTTTTTGAGAAAATGTCCCACTCTGTTGCCTGGGCTAGAGTAGAGTGACATCATCATAGCTCACTTAATCGCAGACTCTCAGGCTCAAGTGATTCTCTTATCTCAGCCTCCCAAGTAGTTGGAGCTATAGGTGTGTCCCAACATCTCAGCTAATGTTTAAATTTTTTTATAGACATAGGGTCATATTATACTATTCAGGCTGGTCTTAAACTCCTGGGCTCTCTTGGCCTCAAGTCATCCTCCCACCTCAGCCTCCCAAAGTGCAAGGATTATGGGCTTGACCCATCCTGCCTAGTCTCACAAGTCATTATTAATTCAACTACAATTTTATTTGAGGATAGGAATCAGGTCTGAGACCTGCCTAACCTGCTTATTTGGGGGGGTCTAACCTAACATATGACACAGAAGAGGCACTGAAAGGATGTTTGATAATAATTGTCTGCTGTAACAGAATATCACAGACTGGAGGGCCTAAACCTCACAGGGACACTAATCCCATCAGGGGCGCCCCACTCTTATGACCTCATCATAATATAATTACTTCCCAAGGCCCCACTTCTAAATGCCATCACATTGGGAATTAGGATTATACTACATGAATTTGGGGGGAGGGGAGCACAAACATTCAGTTCACAGTGATAATAAAGACACACAAGAAGATAGCAAAGGAAATCCAACCTCAGAGCTTAATGATTCCCCCAATAAAGGAGATATACCAGATAAAAACCTAAGGGTTTCTTTGGCTTCTGTATGTCAAGATAAAAACTTTCAGGAAGAGTTTTACTTTGGAGCAGATATACAATTTCAGGTTAGAAGCCAAAATTTCAGATGAAAATGTATAGTCTCTTCTCAGTATCCATGGGGGAATGGTTTTAGGATCTTGAAAATAGCAAAATCCATGAATGCTCAGGTCTGTTTTATGAAATGGTGCAGCATTTACACATCCTTGTGTATACGTTAAATCATCTCTAGATTACTTAGAACACCTCTGTTGTTATACTATATTGATTAGGGAATAATGACAAGAAAAAACAAACCTATGCATGTTCAGTATAGGCACAACCATCCTTTTTCTTTTCTTTTCATTTCTTTTCTTTTCTTTTCTTTTCTTTTCTTTTCTTTTCTTTTCTTTTCTTTTCTTAGACAGAGCCTCAAGCTGTCGCCCTGGGTAGGGTGCTATGGCATCATAGCTCACAGCAACCTCCAACTCCTGGGCTCAAGCGAGTCTCTTGCCTCAGCCTCCCAAGTAGCTGGGACTATAGGCACCCAGCTATTTTTTGGTTGTAGTTGTCATTGTTGTTTGGCAGGCCAGGCTGGATTCCAACCTGTCAACTTTGGTGTGTTTGGCTGGTGCCTTAGCCGCTTGAGCTACAGGCACCGAGCCTATCCTTTTTAATTTCTTAGACTATTTTTGATCTGTGGTTGGTTAAATCCATGGATGTGGAAGCCATGGATACAGAGTACTGACTGCATATTTAGAGGGAATCATCAGTTAGGAAGGACTCACCTGTGGGCCAGGGAGCTGATCCTAAGGACTGTTGCAGCCTTGTGTGGCACAGGATGCTCTTGGCTCTGCTACAGCCTTTGAAGTGATGGAATCCTCATGGAAGTCTAACCTGGTGATGACTAAGGTGGCGGCAGGCATGAACATTTCCTCACCTGCAGTTGCTGTAACAAGTTACTATAAAGTGTGAGACTTAAAATAACACAAGTTTATTCTCTTACGTGCTGGAGCTGAGAAGTCTGAAAACTAGGTGTTGGCTGGGCCACATGTCCTTCAGAGACTGTGAAGAAAATCCATTCCCTGGCCTCTGGCTGCTTCACTCCAATCTCTGCTCTGTCCCCCTATTGCGTTCTCCTCTGCCCCCCCCACCTCATTCTTTTTTCTTTCTTTCTTTCTTTCTTTTTTTTTTTATTAAATCATAGCAGTGTACATTAATGCAATTATGGGGTACAATGTGCTATTTTTTTTTTTTTTTGAGACAGAGCCTCAAGCTGTCCCCCTGGGTAGAATGCTGTGGCATCACAGCTTACAGCAGCCTCCAACTCCTGGGCTCAAGTGAGTCTCTTGCCTCAGCCTCCCAAGTAGCTGGGAGCACAGGCACCCACCATAGCGCCCGGCTATTTTTTGGTTGCAGCCATCATCGTTGTTTGGCGGGCCAGGGCTGGATTCAAACCCGCCACCTTAGGTGTACGTGGCTGGCGCCTTAGCCACTTGAGCCACAGGAGCCGAGCCAATGTGCTGGTTTTATATACAATTTAAAATACCTTCATCAAACTGGTTAATATAGCCTTCACCACATTTTCTTATTTTGTTAAGACATTTATATCCTACTCTTAGTAGGTTTAACTTGTACCTCTGCCTCATTCTTACAGGGACACTTGCCCTTGGCTTTATGACCCACCTGTATAATCCAGGGTGATCTCCTCATCTCAGGATCATTAATTTAATTACATATTCAAAGATGTTTTTCCCAATAAGGTAACATCACAGATTGTGGGGGATTAGGCATATCTTTTGGGGGTGCCACCATTTAGCCTATTATACCCACCTTCCAGAGGCAGCAACATTGAGAAGTTCATGGTCTACTGCTGAAAATGCACGTGACTGTCACAGAGCGCCCATGACCCACTGGAGCTAAGCCCACAGAACCCCCATGGGGCAACCCAGCATTCACCCTCAGAGATGGGATTTATTGTCTGCCTGAGGTGATCTGACTTAGCCCAGGAAACCCAATGTAGCTTTAAAGTGATTCCTGGGTTAAAAGAACTACTGGAAGTGGATGGTTCCACAGTCAATGCCATCAATTAAATGTTTATATCTCCCCTCAATTTATATATTAAACTTCTCTTCCCCAAGGTGATGATATTAGGAGGTGAGGCCTTTGGGAGGTGAATAGGTCAATAGGGTAGAGTGGGATTAGTGCCCTTATAAAAGAGGCCTGAGAGAGACCTCAGTCCTCCTGCCATGTGAGGTTATGGTGACAAGGCTCCACCTATGAACCAGAAAGAAGGCCCTCACCATACAATGTATAAGCTGGCACTTGTCGGC